GCCGTTAAAAAGTTACATGCTAGAAGTGCGGGCCCCTTTAAGATAATCTCGAAAGTAAACAGTAATGCTTATGTGTTAGACCTTCCTGAAGGCTTTAATATGAATCCTACGTTTAATGTTGAAGATTTAGTAGCTTTCGAGGGACCCGAGTTTAACCCTGATAATCCACTTCATGATAAGCCTTGTGAGAACCCACCCAGTGAGATCCCCAACCTACCTCCACTCCCCAAATTGCCCCATTTACCCACTGCGGAGAAGGTCGAAGCTATACTTGACGATGAAATCATTTCCACGAAGGAAGGTGGTCGCCAAAGGTACTTGGTGCACTGGAGAGGGAAGCCGGCGACAGAGGACACGTGGATAGATCGAGAGGAGCTGCAGAGGTTGGATCCAGATCTCCTAGAGATGTACGAGAGCTCCAGAGATTTCTACTCGACGGGGTCGAGCTTTCTCCCATCTGGGGAGAATGATGTGGACATCGACCAGAGGTTCAGACATGTGTATCGCCGTAGACAGTGCAGATCGACGGCCGCGATTCAGAGTTTATATTTCTAGTTATTTATGTATTTCTTTTATGCATTTTTCTTTTATTTCCTATTGTACCTTTAGTATAAGCTGAGTCATGGGTGTAGCACCGAGGGCAATAGAGTCATTGTATTTTCTTTTGTGTTGGGACCTATATATAGGTCATTTCATGTTGTATTATGGTTAATGAATATTTGAAAGAAAATCTAGTTTGTTTCTTTGTTTCTTCTTATTCTTGTTTTGCATGAGAACTTGAAGAGAGAGAGAGAGAGAGAGAGAGAGAGAGAGAGAGAGCTCAAGGTGAGCAAATCGCAAGGCCCACCAGTCGTTGGAAGAGTCCGCGACTCGTGGTTAAGTTATCATCTTCTCGTTGTGCTTCGTTCATCTTCTTCCCCTTCCCATTGAGATCCAACCGGCCAAACCCGTAATTTGCCACCGCCCCCTCCTTGGAGCTCGCCGCCTACCACCTCACATTCCCGGCCGACCTCCTTGCCGGCAACCCCTCTCTCCACCCGTCATCCCACCCACCCATCCTAAGTTTCAAATTTGAAATTTGAATTTTCAAATTTCAAAATCTTTCATAATTTGGAATTCCAAATTTGGAAAGTTTTTCATGACAAATTTAATTTCAACTTAAACTAAATTGAAATCTTTATTCCATCGCCACATCATCACCTCCAATTGGAAACCTAGCTCTCCACTAATTTCCCTCTCCCCCTCTCCCCTTGCCGCCGGCCCCATGATGGGCTTCACCTTAAATGCCACATTCAATGCTCTCTCATATTTGAAATTTCAATTGATTTCAAATAAAATTCCCCTCCAAATTTATTAAATCCTGAAATTAATTTCAGGATTGAGCATTAATCCCCTACCTCCCTCCATTAACCGCCGGCTATAGCATAGGGTTAATGCCCATTAAATTCCCATTTATGTCATTGATCATATGAGGTTTGAAATTCGAATTCTAAGTAACCTCCCTCCAAATTTACTCAAAATCTGAACTAATTTCAGATTTGAGTAGATCTCTCCCTCTCCCCTCATCTAAACCCAACTCCTCTTCCCCTAACCCGCCACCCCTCACCCTTTCCCCACCTTGGCCGATCCTCTCTCCCATCCTCCTTGGGGTGAAGTTGGATGCTCATAACAATTGGAGTCAAGAGAAGGCGAAGACACTCTTCAACATCCACTTCAATGTTGAATGGCGGATCCGGAGTTTGAGTGGGGATTAGTCTTCAACGTCGACGGAAGTATTAACATCTTGCGATCGCCGTGCTTCGACGTAGGATTTGAAGACGAACCACCGTGGAAGAGTACTTGGAGAGAGTCGTCCCGATCCTTGCAAGCATCTACGACCGACAACTTTCAAAGTACACTTGGAGTCTCGAGAGCCAAGCATTCACGCCCTCCTCGTCACCGTCAACCTCTCCGTGGCTAAAAGCCGTTGGTGTGGCCACCATCCTCGTGGCATCGTTGAGTTTGCTAAAGGCCTTCTCCCGCTAACCCGAATTGAGTGTGAGTGAGCAAGGTACTCATTGTGAAATTTCTAAACATTAGCCGTGAGATTTTATTAATTTTCCGCATTTACTTTGTTGTGAACTTTTGGAGATTCATCATTAATTGTGCCTAAACACTAGCTTGAAACTGCTTATCATAACATTTCATCAATGGAAATTGCTTGAATCTTAATTTACGAAAAGCCTAATCTTACTTTGGTAAACTTTGTGATTCTTAATGAATTTCATGTGCAATTCTTGAATGTTTCACATCAGTTTTTCTGGCTACTTTGCTTTTCATACAACAACAACAAATTCATTTGGCTACTATTTTATTGCTGCTTACTCATAACTTTTCAAAAATTTATGTGGTGTAAAGTTATTTTCTGCAATTATAGTAGCGAAATTGTTTTCTCCATAACGACTTTTTAACAAACTTTATAAAACACTAATGCCATCCCAAACAGATCTTAAATTTGCACAGCATATTTTCTTCATAGGGCGTAAAATAGACTCGACAACTTAACAAATAATCTTCATCAAATTTAAATCCAGATGTGCTGACTCCATTTTTTTCCAAACATTCTCCATTAATCAGGACATTCTAAACAAATTCATATGAATATTTGAAGGATTGACTACCTAAAAGAACCACTGATCATAAGATCAAATAGGAAGGTAGAATTTCATAAACAGAAAATGACAAAAAAAAAAGGAAGTCACAGGTAAAGGCTTTGTTTGGGACCGCTTTCTTACTACTTCTTAAAGTAGTTTTTTAGTACAAAATGTTTAATTTTTGTGCTAAAAAAATGTTTTAAGAAGTAATAAAAAAATCGTTCCAAACGAAACCTAAATCTACATCTGTTCAACTTCAACCATACATTCATGAACCTTTCATTTTCTCATGCAATGTATGATGAGCTTTATTAATAGCCAAAGGCAGGAATTTGTGTGCTTACCACCTTAAGATCATCTCATGTGCAATAAGAGCAGCTCTGGTTTTTCTATCAGAAGCTTCCATTCATTGCAAAATCTAGCTACAGTGGCACCATCAACAATTCTATGATCAGCTCCAATTGTAACCTGATAACAAACCACATATGCATTTCTCCTTGTATAAAACATAAGCCGAGGCTTCGTTTGGGACGGCTTTTTTACCGCTTCTTGAAGCAGTTTTTTAGTATAAAAATTAAAATTTTTATACTAGAAAGCTGCTTCAAGAAACAGTAAAAAAACCGTCCCAAATGATGTCTGAGTTCATAGAAAAAGTTTCAAGAAATATTATGAGGCAGAACTTACATTGGTAACATAAGCTGGGTATACCATGTCATCATCAGAGAATCTGGGAAGTTTCTGAATCTTCCCAATTGCAATAATGGCAGCTTCAGGTAAATTGAGAATTGGGGAGCCAAACTTTCCACCTATAGATCCAATGTTGCTAAGGGTTATTGTTCCACCAGTAATATCAGCAGTGCTTAGCTTGTTGCATATTGCCAGTTGTTGGAGCCTTGCCAGTTCTTTTGTAACCTAATAATTAAAGGTAAAATTGTACTAAGATAACCTATAAGCTTCCACGATATTATGGTTGATGTAGAATATAACTAGGCGTGTCATACTAAAAAGAACAGCAGCAAAATGGAATATTACCGTCCATGTTTATAGGAATTTTCTGCTTAAGAATAGGAAAAACTTACTTAAATGATTTAATGAAATGTTATTGAGCCAGATTATCAAAAACCAGAGGATTTTCCTCAAATAAAGCCTCGCAAAAAGGTCTACAACAACTTAAAAGTTGTTGGAAGAGTTATATTCTCAATCCAGCTAGGAATGATTACTCGGATTAGCAGATCAAGAGGAGAAAGAAAGGGAACTTAAACTGGAATATAACTGCGACCTGTTGGGAAAAAAGCCACACAATGAAAAAAAAAAAAGAAAAAGAAGGCAATAAAAAGTATACTAAGTTTTAATGTGAAAAAACCCGAAAAAACAACAGAGCCACACCACACAAAAAAATTCACTATGAAAATTTGAGGAAATTATAAAATTTCTCTTCTCACACTCTCCTTGTCTCTCTTTACTTTTCTATATGTTCTACACTCATAACAGATAAAGAGACATTTTACAATACACCAAAAGACGCAACCCTTCAAGTGAAACAAGAGAAAGAGGGAAGAAAAATTTCTCAGCCTGACTCAAAGGACTGTGGTGCTGAGGTCTGAAAAATTTCTCAGCCTGACCAAAAGTGATTTTTTAGGAGGGGCAAAAAATTTTTTTTTTACTTTCCTATAAATTTTTTTTTTAGGGGGGGTAATTGCCCCCCCTAACTTGCATGTGGTTCCGCCCATGGTCTAGATTGTCGCGGTGTTCCACTCTGTCTTTGAACTCACCATGCAGCGCCATAGCGTTGCAACCTACCGTGCCGCATCGCTCAAATATACAGCAATGTGATGCTATATGGACAAAAAAAATTGTACAACTGTGTGTACACACTCACACAACTTCTTACTTTTTTTATAGTAAGTTTCAAAGACGGAAACTGAGTCATATATATTTTTTGTTAAATAACCATTTAAACTCACTTCTGAATGAAACAAACTGGTCCAAAGTGAAAGAGAAGCTTGGCACTCTCTAAGCTATTTTTTTAGCCATTAGAGTATCCTAAATATCTGCATAAGGGCAATATTAACATATTTTTGCTAGCTAACTTGTAAAGATAGACGACAAGCTGAATAGATGGGGCTTTTAGCCAAGTTTAACTATCAAGGAAAGATAACAACAAATTAATTCATAGAAAAAAATTGTTAGGGTTTGAAGCTAACCTCCATTATGGATTGTGATTGAACCTTCTTTATGTTTGGCACAACTAAACCATATGGAGTAGCCATGGCAACCCCGATGTTGTGGCATCCTAGCAGGAGTAAAAAGTTTATAACCGTAAGTATCACTCCAAATTATTAAAAGAAAAGAGAGTGTTGGCATTAAATTATGTACAACTATATTATAGCATAGCATGAGCAAACATAAGCATCTTTGTAAATAATTAGGTCCTTACTTCATTCTTAAATCGCCCATAAAATGAGAAAAATACTGGAATACCGGTGAAGATGGCTATTCGATTGTTGCTGAGTTACGGTTGGTATGGAATAAGAAGAAAAAACCAGTTTAGAGCGTAGTCATTATCTACAAAAGCAGCTAAACCCAACTATTCTGAAATTAATTATGAATCCTCCTAGCTATCATATATTACTATTTGCTCTTGATTCAAGATTAGCTAGTCTTCTAAAGCAAGTCAAAACACATCAGTTTTAAAGGACATCTTTTTCATTCTAGCTATTTCAGACTAGACAAATTCTATGGTGCAGATCACAATTATTGTCTTCTATCATATTAGATGACTACAACACTGATAATTTATGTGAAAACCTAAAAATGTGAAAAACTAGAGCATAGTCCAAAAAGAATAATTTCACTAGTTGTTGTCTTAAATTACAAAGGGCTGCCCTTCATCTTTGGGATGCATTTGGTTTGTTAAGAATTGATGGTAGATATTGCTCTGTTAGTTATTTGCAGCTGCAGTGTCAGAGTTAGTGGATACCGTGAAGACTAGTATAATATAGAGAAGTAAAGATTCCTCAGTAATACTAGCTATGATTTTTCACTTAACCAAATGCCCCACTACTGTTATAGAAAAGGTAAAAACTACAGGGCAAAACATCCACTGCCGAGTTATGGACATGAATATATTTCACAAGAAAAAATAATAATTATAATGAAAACGATGGAACATCATCTAACGATTATTCTTCCATTGAACAGCCAAATTGCAGGAAACTTCTAATAACCTCATAAGATAGCATTCATGTAGCGTCAGGATGATCAAGTAGCAAGCATTTTTTCATAAAACAATGGCAAACATAAACAAGAAATATATCCATCAAAAATAAAAATAATTAAAAAAAATAAAGATTACCTTTAAGAATAATTTCATTTGATTCCTCACTAAATGAACTGTTCATCAGAGGATATTTGTTCAATGCCATAGAAAGAGACTTTATAAGAAATGGTAGAAATGTGTGTTTAACATCTTGGTCGGTGTTTTCTTTTTGCAAAGTTGCTTTGAGTTCGACAAGCGCATTGCACTTCACTTCTTCCATGAAATAGAAATGTGGAACTTTTGCAGCCACGGTCATTGATTTGACCATTGATCTCTGGAATCCCCTGTAATAGAAATATAGCCTGTTATATGATCTATTATCCTATTTATAAGGGCAGAACATATTGTTTTATCAAGCAAATAGGAAGGAGTAATAACATAACATCTGGAGAAATGCAAAATATTTATCCTTTGAGGTGGATATGAAACTACAATTTAAAAGAAAATTAACCCTAAATTAATATTAATACATATTTGAAATTTGAAAGTCCTAAGAAACTATATAATAATTGGTAAATAAATGTAAACTCCATAGCAGATAACTCTATCTTGCTTCCAAGTCACAATAAGACATTTAGTTAGAAATGATCTTATGATAAGAAAATTAAAGGATAAAGAAATGATTCCCACTTTTTCATGTTTTTAACTGGCGTTACCATCCTCTGTCAATCTGATCTTCACCCTCTGCATTTCGAGTATCTTCTTCTTCAACGAAAAGGAATGGTAGGTTTAGATTCAACACTCAGCCCAAAGGTGTGACTATCCTCTATGCGTGCCTAGCTTTTCTCCACCCTTTCTAAAGGGTGATATTGATCCCAGAAATAGTAGGATCTAGAAAATTTTAATGCAAATTTAAGATGGGATGCACAAGTGCGCATATTATCAAATTCACTGCCTAACAGCTTTAATTTAGGCAAAAAGAGAGCACATAATTTTGCTACATGCGATAATTTAAAGACTCCAAAAAATAATTTTGTAAGAAATTTGAGATCAACAAAAATCATACAAGAATTAGTCAAATTGCACTAAGGCAATCACCAAATCTCAATTACAAACACGAACCAATCATAAGTTGTGTAGATTAAAAAAGTAAGAACAGAAGTAAAAAATATATATGATCATGGCCTCGCGCAGGTAGAAAAAAAGAAATTCTCCCATAAGCTTTTAATCAACAGTTGAAACACACTCGAAGAATTAAGATTCATCCATCACTTTAGTCAATTAAGATTCATCCACTTGAGAGAATTTTGATGTTTCAATAAGCAATTGACTAAACTTAACATGCCTCACAATCCTTCATTAAAATTATAAAAGCCCAAAAATCGGCAACATTTTCAAAATCTAAATTTAGCTAAAAACTGCAAATCTCGATTTTAACAGACCTGAATTCCTCTACTGCAATAAAAAAGTCGCATATAAAAAGAAGAAAATTAGCTTAATTTCGTGTTTATGCAACAATATAGTAGCTGTAATTCATGACCATAGAAGGAAATGAAGCTTGCACGTCGAAACAGCAGCAAAAACCGTTTCCTAGTGGCATCTCTATCAACAATATAAAATCTCAAATATGCATCAACTGCAAACAGCAACAGTAAAGCAGTTAATGGAGGCAAGTGAAGAACCATTGTAGTGAAATCAAAGATCACAACTCATAACATGAAATCAACGACTCCTTGGCTGAGAGAAGACCAAATAGAACTAAACAAGAACCAAATAAGCAACAAACAACAGCGAGCCGACAGTAAACCACAGCTCTAGCAACGGTGAATTAGCAACCGGAAGAACCATAGGTAGTACAGTAATAAAACCAACAGTGAATCAAACATCCATAGAGAATCTAAGCCAATGGCAGCAGAACTCCTAAAATGAATTAAGAAAGTAAATCAAACCTTACAGGTTAACCTTACAAGTTAACCAAACTAACATAAACACTAACGACACAACCCATTATCTATAGCAATCATCACTTAGGCATCAACTAAACCGAAGTAGGAATACTTCTCAGATCACCAAATTGCTTGTTTCGACGTGCATGATTTACATTATCAATTAACTAACTTTCAGATTTGAATCATTCCATCCAGTTTCAAAAAATTTGCTCTAATGAATCTTTGAGCAACAATAAAACCAATTGTTTGCATTACTATTAGTTCCAAATCATAAACATAGCATCTAGATTAATCTTGTGCTCTATTTACTGAATTTCAGGATAAAGTATGAAGCACTAAAAAAACATTAAATGCTAAACAAATAATCGATGTATATTCTAACGAACCATTAACTCAGTCTCAAGATGAATCTTTCTTAGTACTTACTTCTTACTATGCAGTGGATATATATAAAAGCAAATAATGCAGAATAAAAAATACTAATCACTAAAACAATAACCAATGCTTATTTTGATGATATCAGGAAAAAGAAACTAAAAAATATGTCTATAACTGTCTCCAAAGAAGATGGCAACATGTTAAGCTTCAAATTTCTAAATCAACAAAAAATGTATAATATCAGAGACCCTAAACACATACAATGTTAAAGTTGCCCCAACTACGACAAAGTAACATGCATGAATCATAGAATCAAACTGATGTAGGTAATCTGCAGAGGAATGAGACAAGCAAAACAACGATAGAAGGGAAACTCTATAAGCTCGGTAAATTGGTAAAAACCAAGGAGTATATTCTATTCTGCTTCTATCTTTCTCCTTTACAACTATATATTTGCCCAGCCTCTTATTGATAAGATCTTCCAATTGCTTGGATGTCTGTTTTTGCGTTTCCCATAACGCCTCCAAGCTCCGATCTCCGTCGGACCTGGGCCGGCTGCTTCCTTCCGCCATCGTCGCCGGCGACTAGCTCTGATACCAAAGTTGATGCAGCGGCTAGCAAGAAGAAGAAGAACCGAAGGGAGATTCAATGAAACAGTAACCTGGTAGGGGTTTGTAATATTCAAAAGAGTATAAGCTGTGTATTCCTCTGCCTAGAGGAAACATATACTAAGGCAAACTAAAAAGCAGTAAGCATAAAAGGGAAAAGTGTCCAAAAAGTAAAAACTGAAATGCTAAACAGAAAAGGTAAATGTCAGATTCAGTTGGTAGTGCTGCAAGCCACCCAAGCGTGGTTAGCCTGAGTAGCCAGGCTAACCCGTCCCGCACCAGCATGTGGTTAGCCTGAGTAGCCAGGCTAACCCATCCCGCATCAATAAGCAATATCATCCAGTAAAAGTAGCAAAAAAAAATTATCAACAACGATAATGCAAATCCCCATGTTTCATATTGAGGTTGTCCTTTAAATTTGAAGCTGGTATTGATGAGGTCTATGTCATTGTATAATCTATAATATAACATAATGCAGGGAAGATTCAAAAATTCCAGATCAAATCAAGATGATACCGCTTTGGTTAGGTTGAAAAAAAATATTTTCTTTGTTAGATAATATTCATAGAGTTGAAGCTTATGCCTATATAAAGTTAAGTAGTAATCATATACCTTCCTCAAGGATATAAATGGTTTGTTGCAGAAATCACAGGATATTAGGCTTTATTCCCCATAGACAAACCTTTAATAACCTTCAATATGATTTTTGAGGGAACTATACCTTGCTTGGATTTAGGAAAACCATCCTTTATTACACCAAGGCTTTCTGTTATTTTTATTGTCCTACATAAGAAGTCTATCATCTAGTGTAGACATTAACTAATATCATTGCTTATCTTGCATCAATTTGGATGATAATTTCTAAAAAACTACCAGACATTCCCTAAATTCAGCATTTAGTTACCTGAGAGGAAGGACCTTGTCCTCATAACTCCATTGCTGTGTAGAAGCCGTAAATTCTGTTTTCCTTTCTTGAAATGGATCTACATTCACAGCACACTCATGTGATTTGAATGGCAATTCCTTGCCTATTCCTTTGCTATTAGTATAGTTCAAGACATCTTCCTTCAAAACTCTTCCATCTTTACCTGATCCCTTAATATCATTTATATTTATATCATATTGCTTTGCGAGGTGCCTGACAAAAGGTGTAGCAAGAACAGCCACCAAATTTTGCTGATTATTTAATGATGTTTCGGGTTCTAATTCACTCAGCTGCAAATCAGATGATGCTTCACTATCATCATCCTCAGATGTGCTCTCCATTTCATTAATGAGAATCTTCAACAAAGTTTCACCAACCTGAGATGTTTGTCACTGTAAATTACATGTCCAAGATGAAATAATAGAACAATCAATCATCATCCCATACCCTATTTTCTATATGTATATACTTCATGCTGTAAGTGAATTCAAGAATCGAAAATCAAGGACTTTCCCATACCCGATTTTCTTCCTTAGCAAAACAAATTTTCGTGATATAAGATTAAACTGCATATATACACCAATTACCTTAACAATATCACCAGGAACACAGAGAATCTGTTGGACCTTTCCTTCGAACCGGCTTGTGATTTCTATAGTTGCCTTATCACTTTGTACTTCACAGAGGGGCTGAAATTCCTCTACATGATCCCCCTGCCATTGTTTTATAATCCAAATATAGATTAGGCAGCATCAGCCACGTTCTTGATAGCAGAGCTCAAATCCAGAAACCTCAATTTTATGTTCCACGAAAGAAATCAACAACCTCACCTCTTCCACAAACCACTTGAGGAGCTCGCACTCTGCAATGCCCTCTCCGGTCTGCGCGAGCGGCACCTCCACCAGGGCAGGAGAGTCAACCAACGCCTGGCTTGTCGAGAAGTAGCGCTGGTTCCAAGCATGGCACGAAATCCCCAACTAAAACACAAAAATAGTGAATTAAGGAATTGAAAGGATGCCCAGCATTCAGGACAATTTCATAGAAGAGCATTGGACATGGAAGAGGAACTGCACACTGACTTGAGAGACGTTGGGGCCGATGGAACTGTTCCTCTTAAAGAAGGGATGTAGAGTAGCAATTTCCACTGGCGGAAGCGCCGGCGTCGGCCCCGGAGCTCGCACTGGTAGCGGCTCTGTGGAAATCGAGGGTAGGCGGCTATTGAGGATCCATCTGGAGCGGAGAATTAACCTTGTCACCATTGCCAAACCAGTCAAACGATCGAGCAGAAGAGGAACCCGAACTAGCTACAGTGAGTAATCGCCGTACATCAAAGAGGATTTACATAGACAATAACCAAAATATATTTACAAATTACAATTTAAATTTCATTATTTATATAATATAATACTTCATTAATAAAATTAATGAAAACTACAATGATGGAAAAATTTGGCACGACCCGGCCCGATTAGCTCGCTAGTGCGAGGCGGGAACAGAGATCGGACGGAGAAAGAGACAAGGTAGCATGGCATAAACTAAATTCATCATAAAGTAAAGAATGTTAACATCACTACAACAAGAAAAGAAAGAGCCACTAAAAGTTCCAAATAGTAATTTTTGCTTTTCATACCTTGTAAAAAGAGGATTACAAAATTACTTTGTGTAGACGCCGAACGTCGTCCGGAGACAAATCAGAATATGTCATGTCAGCCCTTTGCTCGGTACCGCTGATGTGGTACATTCTAATTTCTGCGTCCGGTCTCTGCACAAAATAATTTTTTCCATTGTATAATGAATCTTATCGAAGAAGAGAAAGTGGTGATGGGATTTCGTTAGGAAATAACTTCATCCCAATCGTTCTCTGGGAAGGAGCTTCCACGAACAAAGAAGAGAAGAGGAAGTCAGGATGGGATCTCATCAATAAGGGTGGTGCGATCCGCAATATACAACTTTTTGTAGTCTCATCTAAGCAATGCTCTTGTCATCTACTTCTACATAGGGAACTTCATGCACCCCTTTGTCCTTAATCAAAATTTCATCGTCGTAAATAATTTCACCTTTACAGACCTCTCTATAGTAGTCCACAATAGGATTATAATAAATGTGATGTTATTTTTATGTTATTTAACATAATGAGTATTACGTAGCTCATTTTAGTTTATTGGTTAGGAACTTTGACTATCAATTAAGAGATTTTGGATTCAAGTATTGCGTCTGTGGTGTATGTGTGAGTTTGATTTATTTGGGCTAAATATCACACATAAATTTGATAGTGACATGATCAATAAATAGAAGATAAATTAAGGGTAAGTTGGGAGTAATTTGAATGGACAGCCGATGTTAATCTCCTTAATCGTGGACCATTTACTGGGCATTTGAACATCTTTAATGATATCATAATTTGGCAATCTTGAGCTCGTTGGATTCGTCTCGTCGAGGTGCTCAATTCGACTATAAGCATGACACTTTTGGAAATCTTTTGGTCATCCAATTTATAGTTTGAACTTTCCAAATGTGCTTCGAGTCTTTGATTTAGACCCATTTGGACTCGGATTGAGTCGAATATGGTGTATGTGTTTGTATTTTCGTGACGTTCAGTTCAACTATTAAGGTATTTATCTTCGTAAGTTTCCAACTTAAATTAGGCTCGAGATACGGGCTCAATCAAGATAATTTTTGTGACGACATATCACATCTAATCACATTTTCTTACCTTAATATTTATATGCGATGAGTTGCATATTATTCACATTTAAATACCTTACTAAAAAATATAAAAGTTTCTATTCAAATTTAGCTCATTTTTAAACAAACTGAACAATTAAAATGTGCCAGTTGTACACGTGCACCGCGTGGCAAAATAAACAGGCGGCAGGGTGACAGGTGGCGCCACTTGGCTAGTCTTGGAACCGGATAAGCATCATCCACGAGTCAAGGCTTTGCTTCCATGCGTTACGACAATAACTGACTGTGTGGAAATTTGTCTTTTGTTATTATCCAGCAATTAAATTAATGAAGAAAAGTTTTGTAAAAATTAAGTAGGAGATCAGGTCGGTGGCCGAGTGGTCGAAGGAAAGAAATTTCTCCTATCTTATCCGGGCTCGAATCCCTTATCTGTCAAAAAAAAAAAAAAAAACTTAAGTAATAAAATATATACAGTGAAAACCTTTAAACTTTAAAATTTGAAATTTGTTTCCACTGCAATTTTTATAATTTGTTAAAACATCGTTTTAAAAAGCCAAAATACCTCCTATTTTATTGATGTATGTGCTTGATCTTCATATAAGACTAAGACGTTAAGCTATTTTCTACCGTCGTAAATATTCTGATATGCAATGCTTGTTATTATTTTGTTTTTTAGATTAGCACTATAATTTTTATTTGACTATTATTTTTTTATTATTTTTAATAGGATTGTTAAAATCGGGTTACAGTTGCGTTCGGGTCCAACTCGAAATTGACCCGGGTCAGTTTTTCGAATCCGAACCCGACCCGCTTCGGATTCGAGTCAACATGAACCCGACCTGCATAGTTCGCTTCATGGACAACATTCCCTTCCAATCGAAATCAAAAGTTACAACATTTTGATCGGAAGCAACGATAGGAGTTCGCACGTTGTGAAAGTTTCTCCCTTTCGTGCACTTCTTCGTAGTCGTTCGACTTTGCTCCTTGGACAACATTCCCTTCTAGTTGGATTGGAAGTTACAACATTTTGATTGGAAGCAACGGTGGGAGTTCGCTTGCTGTAAAGGTTTCTCCCTTTCGTGAGCTTCTTCGTAGCCATTCGACATCTCATTTGACGACATTCCCTTCCAATTGGATTGGAAGTTACAACATTTTTAATGAAAGCAACGGCAGGAGTTCGCTTGTTGGCTGGATTCCAGGTCAAAATTTGGTTTTCGGGTCAACCCGAGCCCGATCCGGAATTTGAAACGGGTTGAAAATATGGACCCGAACCTGATCCGTTTTGGGTTCAGGTTGACCCGAACCCAAAATTTTCGTGTCGGGTTCAAGTCGAGTTTTCAGTTCGTGTTAGTTTTTGAAACCCTTAGTTTTTAAGAAACTTTTGTGCTAAGAAGTTACTTTTTAAAATAACTTTAAAGATGTGAGCCTAAGTCACTGACGTGTTTGGCCTTAACTTATGTTCTACTATGGCTTCTTTTGTGACAGATTTCTTAATGTTTTATTTTTCAGCCTGTAATCACAATTTTTATTTGACAACTATTTTTTTTGTCGCATTCAAAATTATTAAACTAAAAAAAATTCTATAATAATTTTATGAAAAAAAATTTATCTATAGTATCTTAACAAAGCAGTAAAAAAGTTTGTTAGATTTAGCTTTAATAATATAATGGCTTCATCAAATAAAGTAGATTATGATTTTGTTTGGGATGGCTTTCTTACTGCTTTTTAAAACAATTTTTTAGTATTAAAATTTAAATTTTTGTACTATAAAGCTACTTAAAGAAGCAGTAAAAAATCATCCAAACCGAAGCCTATAGTAGCTCAATAAAGCCTCTTATATGAATACCTAACTAACAGTCTGTTTGAGATAACTGTTGTTTTTTATAAAGATAGTTGCAGAGTTGTTGTATAAAAAGTTATTTTTTTAAGCTTTTACAGAAAGCTGCTTTCCTAATACAAAATTTTCTAAAAAGATCAATAAAAAGTGGTAGCAAAATAGATATTGTGATTGCGATCTAAAAAGCAAAGCAGTAAGAAAATTGTTACAAATGAAGCCTAAAACTACACTTACCGACTAATCAAGTCATCAAGCAAACAATAAGATCTTCCATGAATCTTACCCTACAACTTCCACAATCCATACAAACTATTCCTATTCAATGGAAATGGACTCTACTTTCTTAAGTTTTGTTTGGGATGACTTTCTTACTGCTTCTAAAAGCAGCTTTTTAGTGTAATTTTTTTTTTAATTTTTAAATTTTTGCAGTAAAAAATTATTTTTAGAAGCAGTAAAAAAGTCGTCCCAAACGAAGCTTTAGCTCACTAACTTTTGGTGAGATGCAAATATTAAAAAAAAAAAAAAATCATACTTTTGAAACCTAACTCTGAGGGGTCGGCAATTGTCACAATCACTTGAAAAGAATCTCCATTTTAGGAATAGTGGATAGAAAAGCCAAAGGCATCCACGTTTCCTAAGAATCTTTCCATGTTAGGCCTCAATCAATCTTTATTGTTCTTTGATGTCATGTGGACTAAAAAATATGGTGGAAATCAGTTTGGTCAGTTCAATCGTCTTAGATTTCATTTGGGTTTGTTTTTTATTGCTTCTTGAAGCATTTTTTTAGTATAAAAATTAAAAATTTTGTACTAAAAAGCTGCTTCAAGAAGCAATAAAAAAGCCGTTCCAGGCAAGACCTTAGTCTTCGTTTGGACGACTTTCTTGTTGCTTCTTAAAACAACTTTTTAGTACAAAAATTTAATTTTTTTTAATAAGAAGTTACTTTAAGAAGCAGTAAGAAAACATTAGAGAACAATTGTTGATTAAATTAATGTTGTACTATTTTCTTTGGCCTATTGGTTGAGAGCTTAGGCTTCCAATTAAGAGGTCCAAGGTTCGAGTCCATGTGTATGCGTTGTGTGTGTGAGTTTGCCTTAAATGGCCTAAATGTCCCAAAAAAAAATTAATGTTGTACTATTTTCTTTGATATTTAAATGAGTTTATTCTCAAAGTTATTGGGTTCATGAACCAAGTTCTAATCAAAGTATGAGAGATACATTGATCTTGAATTGGAGTGTAACTAGTTTGATTTGAAAAATCAATATGTGGGCATACTCGAATTAGATTAAAAACAGCTCTAAATAGATTTGTGAAAGTTGAATGAAGAATGCGTATAATTGAACTAGCAAAAAAAATTAGGGATATAATGAGTTGAGTCGAGTTTGAGTCAAGGTTGACTCGAGCAAGACGTCTACTTAATGTTGGGCTTGAACTTAAGCCGAGCTCGGCTCGTCCATATATTCCCAAGTTTAATCTTGACTCATGTGCTCGAGTGCTCAAGATTATTTGAGATAGGGGTGTCAAAACAGGTTGACGAGTCGAGTTCAGGTTCGACACAAAATTGATCACCTAAAACTAGTCAACTTGAACACCACCCGTTTAATAAACAGGTCAAAAAGACCAATCCGAACCTGTCCTTCTAGCAACCCGAATGACCTGAACTAGGCACGTTATACCGTTTTGGTTTTAAAAAAATTGTAACTTATTAATTATAAAGTTCATGATATTTGATTAAAAAAATAAAGATATTATACTTAGAAGTAACAAATTTAAGATAAAAATATATTAAACTGGTTAAAAGCGTATTGGCAGGCCAACTCGAACATGACTTATTTAATAAACGGGGTCAGGTCAAAAAATCCAACCCGAATATAACCCGTTTCAACCATAACCTCGATTTTTTGGGTTAGGCTAGCGGGTCGGGTCATTTATTAACAGCCCTAATTAGAGAAGGCATTGATGAATCAATTCAGGGCGAGGAAGTCGCAGTTAGTATTCGATCTAGAAAGCATCAACGAGTCTAGCAATGAGAAAGAAGTAGCAACTAGAATTCATCGTAAAAAACTTGGACATATCTAGCTGCTAGAATTCACTGCAAAAGGTATCAATAGGAGAAAAAAAATACAAAGAGAAGCAATTATCTTCATCCTTTGTAACGACATGATTAATCAAGGAGAAGAACAAAAAATTAGGTGAAAGGTTTCCAATCGAGTATGCTAGCAAGCCTACAAGCCAAGCCGAAACAAGCTCGAGCGTAAGCACATATAACACAAAGTTCTAGTTTTAGCTCTAAATCAAGCTTGCGGCTTGATAAGCTCAACTCGCAAGCTTGCTAGTGAGTTTAATTCGAGTCGGATAAGCTCACTTACATCATCGGGTCTCTCCTCCGCTTAAAAAAAAATTCATGAATTTCAAAACTTCTAGAATTATTATAGTGTTAATTAATGCTCCACCTCATAAACCTCATATCATCTATTTTATAATACTAAGTATACAATAAATCTTATATTTAATTCAAAGTGATACATTGCATACTCAACATATCTATTCAAATAAGAACAACTCATTATCAAAATATTTCTAGTTGAACTAAAAACTACATAGTAAGTTAAAAGAATGATTTCTCTAAAGGGGGAATCACAAAGAATAATAAATATTGTTGTGTCATGGAATATTCACGGCGGTAGAGAAAGTTTAATGTCTTAGCGTTGTATGAAGATCCAGCATGCATACATATAAAAGAGAGGGAGCGATATTAATAAGAGACAACAAGATTTTTATATGGAAAACCCTGAAAGGAAAAAAAAACCACGGGGCCTAACCCAATTTGAATGAATCCACTATTATTTGTAGTCGATTACAATTGAGGCCCTTCCTTGGGGGGAAGGCCTTGGCTTGATGTACATCATATGGAGTACATTACATGGTGGAAATACAAAGAATCACTATTGACTTGTTCATTTGATCAGAAGGACCATAGTCGGTGGGCGACGGAGGTCAGAAAGACCATTGTCTGACAACATATGTAAGAAGGGCCGTAGTAGGCGTGCGGGCGATGGAGGTCGGGGCGATGGAGGTCGGAAGGACCGTTGTCTGTAAATGGACGCCAGAAGGACCGCAACCGATTGTAATCGGCTGGTGACAAATGTCGAAAGGACCTTATTCGGCGGGAGATGGAAGTCATGCAAAAGTACGGCATTAGTTGGAGGCCATGCAAAAGTACGGTGTTAGTTGGTGGCCGCACAGAAAAACCGACATCAATTGGCAGTCGAGTAGAAGTCCTACGTCAATTGCTAGTCGTGTAGAAGTTCAACGTTAGGTATGAGTCTAGAGACAGACAAAAGTCCGTCATCAGGTAGATGTCTGGCGTCCGGCGTCAAGTGGAAGTCTGGTAACGTGCGGAAGTCCGGCGTTAGGCGGAAGTCCGGCGTCGAGTAGAAATCCGACGATGGGCGGAAGTTCAATGTCGAGTAGAAGTCCACTGAAATTTCGATGACAGGAAGAAGTCCAACGATAAACAGAAGTTCGGCGACGAGCAAAAGTCTGGCGACGAGTAGAAGTCTAGAGTCGGGTAGAAATCCAGTGACGAATGGAAGTCCGAAGTCGGGTAGAAGTTTGATGACATAAAGAAGTCCAGCGACGGGCAAAACTTCGGTGTCGTGTAAAAGTTCAACAAAAGTTAACGAACGGACAAAACTCCGACATCAGTTGGTGGTCGGGCATAACTCCAGCGTCGGTAGGTTGTCGGGCAGAACTCCAGTGTCGGTCGGCTACCAGATGAAAATTCGGCAGTGGTCGAGGAGGAGTCTCTTCATTCTCTTCATTTTTTCTTGTTTAATTATGGCTTCAGTTTGCGATCGGGCAGAACTCTAGCGTCGGTTGGCTGCCGGGTGAAAGTCTGACGATGGTCGATAAGGAGTCTCTTCCATCTCTTATTGCTTGGGCCTCCTTCCCCTTCTTTTGGGAGAGATTATTGGGTTCGAACACCAGACACATGTTATCGTTCGGTACTTTAGAGTACCGAGCAGTACTGAGCTCGGTACTATGGGGAACCGAGCAAATACAGAGCTCAGTACCGAGTATGGGGTGATGTGGTGCATTTTCATTGGGCTCCGGACGTTGTCCGGTGTCGGAACACAATAATTTCTCCTCTTTTGGGGTCCCTATCTATGAGAAATGAGGGGTCTATCTATATTTTTCATAGAGTGGCATGACCCATAAATAGGAGGAAGATCCAGGATAAATTGGGAGTGGTTTGAATGGACGGCCAATATTGAATCCCTTGATCATGAATTGTTTATTAGACAATTGAATGTCTTAATGATATCAGAATTTGACGATTCTGGGCTTGTTGGATTTGTCTTGTCGAGCCGCTCAATTTGATTATAAGCATGCCACATTTGGAAACTGTTTGATAATCCAAATTATGGTTTGAACCTCCAAATGTGCTTCGGGTCTTATATTTGGACTCATTTGGGTTTGGATTGAGTAAAATTTGGTGTCGTTGGGTTTGTATTTTCGAGATTTTCAGTTCAACTGTAAGTTTGCTGAAATCGGAGTTCAGATGGTCTCTGATTTAATTTTTGAAGTTTCCAACTTAAATTTGCTTTGAGATTCGTCCCCGATCAAGAAATTTTTTTTATAATACATAAGTATATTAGAAGAAAAAAATAAAATTTGACTGTGATAGTCATCTGAAAACATATGTGATTGTAAAAATTTATTTATCAAAGAAAGTGATTAATCAGAATCAGATTTTACCAAACTCAAACCCAACCTATCAACATATTAGCTTCCACTTTTAAATAATAAGCTCCATATTACCACTAAGCCATCGCTACCTTTCTGCCGACATCCACGTGTCCAAAGCTGTTTAGGACCGTTTTACATTTCACGCTGCCAGAGAGACACCACACCGGAAAGCGACATTGTTCTTCTGTTCTCTTAAATCTCCCCTAACCGCCTAACCCTTCTTCTCCACTACATCTGTCTCTCAAAAACGCAATCTCTCTCCTCTCCTCTCTCTCTCTCTCTCTTCTGGCATCCATTAATGGCGGATTTGAGCTTCATAGTTGGATTAGTGGGTAATTACTGCGTTAATCTCTGATTATTTGTTCTTCTTCTTGTTCTTCTTCTTTTAGTGTTGATTATATAATTTGGAAATTACAGGAAACGTGATATCGATTCTGGTTTTTGCATCGCCCATGTGAGTTTTTACAGACTTAATCCGATTTGTAATTAAGATTAATTGAGTTATTAATTACTTCTTTAGTAAATTTCTTAATACTTAATTATTTGAAAATCACTCCGAAGTAATGGATTCTATCTATTATGGATATGGTAATCCAAATTTGGATAAGGTAGGTTTTCTGATCACTGAATTTGCTTTTGAAATTCGTGTAAACTATGATTAATTAATTATAATTATTTTAAAAATGACAAAGGAAATAGATTAATTAGTAAAATAAATCGTTTTACAGTAATTTTTATAATTTAATGAACTGATTTGGATTTTTTGAGAGGGCAGTGGGACTTTTCGGAGGGTGGTGAAGAAGAAATCGACAGAGAGCTTCAAATGGCAACCGTACGTTACAACGCTGATGAGCACATCACTGTGGACTTACTACGGGCTGTTGAAGACGAATGGTCTTCTTGTTGTTACAGTCAATGGAGCAGGCACTGTTCTTCAGGCCATTTATGTGATTCTCTATCTCATCTATACTTCCAAGGACACCAGAGTTCGTCTCTTTCTCTCTCTAAAAACTTTCTCTCTCTAGAAATTTTCTCTCTCTAGGTTTCATTTGGGACGGCTTTCTTACTGCTTCGTAAAGCAGTGTTTTAGTAAAAAAAAACCGTCCCAAATGAAACCTTAATTTAGGCTTCGTTTGGGATTACTTTTTTATTGCTTCTTATAGCATAATTTTAGTACAAAAATTTAATTTTTATACTAAAAGTCTTTTTTAAAAAGTAATGAAAAAGTCGTCCCAAACGAAGCCCTAGCTGTGAAGCTATTGCAGGAAAAAATAACTTTTTTAAAAATTATTGTAAAAACAGCAAAAATGCAAGATTCAAACAAAAAAAATATAATTGTGCTCTAAAAAGTAAAACGGTAAAAAACTAGCACAAATAAATCTTAAATTAGACACACTAGATAGTTTGAGCAATCTTTTTTACGGTTTCTTAAAGCAGTTTTTTAGTACAAAAATTAAATTTTGATACTAAAAAGCTGCTTTAAGAATCAGTGAAAAAGCTGTTCCAAACAAAAGCCTTTGTTTGAAACAACTTATTTATTATTTTACTTTCTAGCATTAAAAATCTGCTTTAGAAAGCAGTAAAAAAGCTGCATCAGACGAAACCTAAATGACATCACATAAATAATCCATTGAAGATTTTGATATTTTTTTTCGTAGCCGTTAACTTAAACAAGCAAAAAAAAAATTAAAATTAAAATTAAACTCAATCAAATTGGTTCTTCTAATATATGTCCTAATCTCTAAATAATAAAATGATAATTTAAAATATAATTGCAGATTTATATGGCAAAAATGGTTGGATTATTAAATGTTGGAGTCATTGGAGTGGTGATTTTGGTGACTCATTTAGCTCTCCATGGAAGCTTGAGGCTTTTGGTGATGGGATCTTTGTGTGCAGCACTAACAATAGGAATGTATGCATCACCATTATATGCAATGGTAAGTAAGGCTTCATTTGAGATATTTTTTTTATTATTATTATTAAAAAAATAAAAATAAATAGTATAATATAATTAAAATATATTATTTGATAACAGAAAATGGTGATGAAGACAAAGAGTGTAGAATACATGCCTTTCTCCCTTTCCTTCTTTCTCTTCCTCAATGCAGGGATTTGGAGCATCTACTCTGTGCTTGTCAGAGACATTTTTATACTGGTTAGTACTCCATTTTGTTTTTTACCCACCGCTGCTTGTCCGGGTGGTGAAGGGCCGGCTGGGCAAAGCCTAGGTCCCTGGTTCGAATCCCTTGGCAAGCAGTGAAAGCCTTAATTGTTGGCCCGTGTAAATTGGTGTGAGTTACATGCTAGGTCGACCGAGGTTTTCACTGGCCTAAGAACAATGCTTTCTTGTCACAAAAAAAAGTACTTAATTTTTATATTAATCATCTCCAGCCGAATGCTAAACCAACGCTTATTGTCCGCAAGCTGCTTCGCTCAAAAGCGAAAACCCGCGCCATTCTCTCGACGCGAACAGTGCTTCACCAATATTGGTATCGCACTGTTCACAAATGGTTCTTTTTTTTTTCGGCTGGAGATGAGTTGCTGCATTTTGAACTGTTACTGTATTTTGGAGTGGAAAATGAGATGCCCTAACATGAAATTATATGATTGAAATCTTATATATAAGCAGATCCCAAATACTATTGGATTTGTTTTGGGTTCAGCTCAGCTAGTAATCTATTTTATCTACAAGAAGAAAGGTCCTAATTCAGCCAAGGAAACAGACATAGAGAGAGCAGAAGAGGAAGGCTCAGCTCAGTTTGTGGATCATATGGAAATGCAGAACAGAAGGAAAGATGAAGAATATGGGAGCAGCAAGCATTTGAATAAGGGAAGAAGCCTTCCTAAGCTTTACATGGCTAGACAGAATAGCTTCTCAGGGATTCTGAAAACTCTCTCTCTTTCTCCTAATGAGTTGACAACATATTGGCAAAAAGATGGTTATGATGCAATTTGAAATGTTATGATGTTATGATGTTATTTTCTAAAGTAATTTTTTTAGTATAAAAATTTTTTGTATTAAAAAGCTGCTTTATAAAACAGTAAGAAAGTTGTCCCAAACGAAACATGAATGGTCTATCTTTTAAAGATTGTTTGATCGTTTAATTATGAAGCTTTCAAATTGATTTGGGCTTATTCGGAGTAACATCAGATGACTTCTGGCGTTGAAAAATTCATCTCATCAAGACGTTTAGTTCGATTATAAACTTGTTGAAATTAGAGTTCGGATTGTAGTGAAGTTAATTTAAATTTTTTTCAATTCAAATATTGCATCAATATTCGTGCGAATCAAGTGAATCTTTTGAAGATGTGTAGAACAATATATCAAAATTATTTAAATTTTATATGTTAGTTACCCCAAAATATGACTAAAGTCGTCATTTATTTTTAAAAGATTAATTAAAATATTAAAAATATTTATAATCAACTTTTTTTCATATAAACATACATCCGCACATACAATGCGCACGTGCTAAACTCGCATCACCACTAATCCTCTTTGAAATGAAAAATTATTCTGTGCGTACACCGGACGACGTCCGGAGACCAACCAAAATGCGCTGCGTCACTTTTCTGCTAGGTTTCGGTGCTAGATACAACTATATATCGGGTGATGTGATGCGTTTTAATTGATCTCCGAATCATTCAATATCTGCATAGAATAATTTCTCCGAAACATGGTAGAACTTTTCACAATTTATTTGGAACCTCACAAAAAGGAAACCCACCTTAATAGTCAAATGAATGCAGAATATGTCAGTAGTCACAAAATTGGGTCCGTACTGCACGTGGGTACTCATACCTACCCCAAGGTTAGGTTGCCCTAATCCAAGGCCCAAAACTAATTTACATAAATCATAAACTCAGAATTGTAAAATATAAATTTATTTAAATTCACTTTTATTAATTAAAAAGAAAGTTGAGTAAGTGATGATATTAACTTATGAATTATAATTTTATCCTATTAAAGGAATTTTTAATGTGTTTTTATATTAATTTTTTAAAGACATCTCATGTATAATTAGGGTTGTTAGGTCCATACCTAATTGTCCTTAATAGCTTGAGTCATTTGATTCCCCCTTTCATGGTAGGGGCTTTCTCGATTACTATGAATTATCTCTACAACTAGGGGTGTCAATTTCGGGTCACGGGTCGGATTCGGGTTGAACATGAAACTGACCCGGATTTAAACGGGTCGACCCTAACCTGACCCGGGTAGACAAACGGGTCGAAAATTCGAACCCGACCCGACGGTTGCCGAGTTGACCCGACCCGACCCGGATTTGGGTTCTGCCGGCGCCGGAACGACTGCGGGCAGACGGCTGGTTAGGGGGCGGACGCGAGGGCTTGCTCGGACGAGGGCAACGGGTAACGGGGCACGCGGGGCAGTGGGTAGCAGGCAACGGATGCGAGGCAGCAGCGCGGGGCGCGGGCAGCGTGGGCGAGGGCAGCGGATAGCGCGGGCGAGCAGGGCAGCGGGCGAAATCCAAATTTTTTAAATTAAACGGGTTTCGGGTTGACCGGGCAACCCGTCGGGTCAAACTGAACCCGTCCCGTTTTTGCAAACGGGTCGGTTTTTTGAACCCAAACCCGACCCGCTTCGGGTTCAGGTCGGGTCCAATATTGACACCCCTATCTACAACCTTCATATACCAACATATTGTTGCCTTCATAAAATGCAACTCTAGGAGAGAATCGAGTTAGCCATCTTCAATGGTCTCTATAACCCTTATGTTAACTTATCATCCCATATCTTTAACTCAAAGGGAGGACCTATCAATTGTCTTATACCATCTCATCGCCACAGTTCTGTCATGATGTACATATTATGTAATATATTATATTTTAGATTGTGCCAAGGGGTGGAACTAACCTTAATTTTCAAGGGGGACAAACTTATAAGTAAAAGTTTAGAATTTGGCTCGACCCCCTATTTGTTCATATCCTTGATTGTTGTACACTTCACAGATATGTCGGGAGTCTAAAAGGGTAGCGGCCCTGGCTGCGTTCGACCTGCTTGGTCAGGACGTGGGGTCAAGGGACAACACCTCTACAGGGGTTCCCCGGGGGTAGCGCACCCGGAGCAATTTTTTGATTGTCTTAACTATTTCTTTTTGTATTTGGTTCATCGCTTCCTAACAATAACACTTATACACAATATGTTTAATTATGCTAAGGCCAATTATCTAAAGACCATAATATTTTAAAACTTTTAGGGGGGGGGGGGGGTTTCCCAAAAGGGGGGGGATTGCCTAATAACCCTTGTAATAAAGACAAAAAAAAACTATTAACTCTTCTTAACTGCCTTGACTAGACCCTCTATCACAAAGAGGAAGTCAAGATAGGTCAGGACAAGTTCTTGCCTTGCTAAATGGCGTTGAAGAGGACTATATCTCGCTTAGAAGACTATCAATGAAATCTCGTTAGGGAATCAGATTTTGACTTCAACCTTGAAGAGGAAAAGAAATTATTACGTGCGATCATCAAATTATTCGGAGACCAATCAAGATGCGTCATGTCATCGAAATACTACGGTACATAAGCAGTCAGCTTCCTTTATGCACTTCTAGCAAAATTGGACTCGACTCGACACTGACCATCCAACCTACTACAACCATACCCTATATCCTAACTTGTATAAATAATAAATTTGAAGTGTTGTAGTTCTAAATAATAAATTTTAAATAGTTAATGTATAAACTCCAAAACTTTAAATGCTATGGACATAAATTCTTCATTAACTTAGAAGAGTCAAACATCTTAGCCCACCGCTATCATATCGCTACAAGTTAGCAATCTATTGAAGAAAATGAAGGATACGAGATAACAAGTCCAAGAGCGCTAAAAAGTCGCAAAAATCATCTCGCAGCCATGGCTTCTCTGCTCCTCTTCCTCCTCCTCTCCTCTCTCTTCTCCACCTCATTGTCAGACCCGCTTTCTCTCCAATCCCTCTCCGCCTACGACGTCCTCAAAACGTACAACTTCCCCATCGGTCTGCTCCCCAAAGGCGCCTTGGGCTACGATCTCGACCCCACGACCGGAAAATTCTCCGCCTACTTCGACGGAACCTGCTCTTTCTCCATCCAATCTTACCAGATCCGCTACCAATCCACCATCTCAGGTACCATCTCGACCAACCATCTCAGCAATCTCCATGGAATTAGCGTTAAGGTGCTCTTGTTCTGGATCAATATCAACGAGGTTATTAGAACAGAAAACGATCTCGAGTTCTCGGTAGGTATTGCTTCCGCTGATTTCCCGATCGGTAACTTCTACGTTTGTCCGCAGTGTGGATGTGGGTTGAACTGTGATGGTGTTGGTGGGGTGAAACTGAGATCGATTGTTTAGATTGATTTGGTTTTAAGGATGGATTGGAGTGATTCTTGGTTTCTATCGTTGGATTGTTTATGCTTGATTTTAGGGTTTTTGTGCCCTATAATTTCAAACAGGGGAAGCTTAGGGTTGAAGGAGCGTAGCAAAGATAAGTTATTTACTTATTTTAGAATATCTCTGATCTGTTTCTTATTTTAAGCTATCCGTCTTCTACCAAAGATGAATAAAATAAATATAGATATTTTTGAAAGTTGTTATTTACTTGTATTGTTTGATTTTATTTAATATATATATTGCAACATAATATTTAAATTTATTATTTTTTCTAATGCTATATTTTAATATTTTTCTTTTTATTAGAAAAAAATAATTATATTAAAAAAATTTATGTCATGATTGTTTGATAAATTTTAGGGTAGATTAAATAAGTAATATTATTGTTGCGTGCTAGAATATTCGCGGCAGTAGAGTTAGAAAATATTCGTCTTAGCGTTGAACGAGTATTCCGCACGCAAATAGAAAAGGGAAAATGAACACCAGAGTTTTTACGTGGAAAACCCGAAAAGGGAAAAACCACGGGGCCTTGCCCAGTTGAAAAATTACACTAGTGTTTTTTGTAAATTATAAGAAACTGATTCATCCCGCAAATTGGGACGATCAGATTACAACTTGAAGCAAATTCACAAAATTTGTAGAATCCCGTCGTTTCTCGAAAATCCGGCAGAGTTCTGACGTATTCAGGCGGCGGGAAGATTTCCGGCGGTGGTCGAGGAGGAAAGGAATCACCTATTCCCATTTTCCTTCTTATTCTCTTCTTCTTCTCTCTCTTCACTTGAGTCCCTTTGGTGTAGAATGAGGGCTCTATTTATAGTTTTTCTGGAGTGGCATAGCCCGTAAATAAGCGTGAGATCAAGGGCGAATTGGGAGTGTTTTGAATGGACGGCCGATATCGAATCCTTTGATCATGCACCGTTCGTTGGACATTTGATGGCCTTAATGATGTCGGAATTTCGCGATCTCTCGTTGATTCGTCTCGTCGAGCCGTCGATTCGAGTATAAGCTCGTCAAAATCGGAGACCGTTTGGTAACTCAAATTGCGGTTTGAACCTTCCAACACGCTTTGACCCTTGATTCGGACTCATTTGGGCTCGGATCGGGTTGATCTTGGTGTCGTTGGTTCGTATTTCGAGACGCTCAGTTGACTATAATTCGTTGAAATTGGAGTTCGGTGCTCCCAAAATTAATTTTTGAAAAGTTTCAACACTTTGCTCGAGATTCGTGCCGATCAAGCTAATTTGTTGACTACGTTTCAATTGCCCCTATTTTCGGACTCGTTGCTTCAGAAGTCCGAAATATGCGTCACAAATTTTTAGAATTTTTCTGAGCGAGTCAGAATTAATCTTGTGTGTAGGCTTCGAAAGCTCTGAAAA